GAGTACAGCAATGAAGCACATAAAAAATGGAAAATTGACGAGACATTGAATTGTGAGGGAGCTAAGAAAATCATTTCATTTCACCAAAGGGACAAAGGGGCCGAAAGGAAGAGACATACAGCGACAAAGATAAGGTTGCTCTTCCCCATTTTTTCCTTTCTTCATAAAAGAGACCTTTCCTTATTTCCTCAGTTGTCATTCACTTACAATTAGACCATCACCCTCTCTTCCACTTTTTCTCCTTTTCTTTCTCTTGCTCGTTCATTTCACACCTAACCCTTTACATGCAATTAGACTTCATTAAATCTCCCCTTTTTCTGTGTTGATCTAAACTTGAGAAAATTTTCATTCAAATACCCCCATGGTTTTGCATGCAGTTGTAGCCGTTTTATAACACTTATCCCCTCATCTAATAATCCTTGCAAATAGTCAATATAATAAAATTCATTACGGATTATTTTTAGAGTATTAATGAAATTAGGTTGCAATAAGTTTCTACTTTTTCAAAGGGGAATTAGAGTGGAAGAATTTTGTTCTCCATTCCTTAATGGATGGGTTAAGAACTTGAGGATGAAAATTCCTCTTAAATTGATCAAGATGTAGAGTCAAGTCCTTTGAGTATTGTACTAATCTTGGTGGAGACTTCTAACTAAAAGCAAGAGCGTATTAGGTGGTTTTTAATTTGAAATAAAACACTGCCCATTGATCATCCATGACTAGGTTTTTTTTTTTTTTTGGCTAAAATTTTCTAAGAAGCCATGAACCAAGTGGATAGATAATCCATGAGCTCACAGGATATTAGCCAAACACAACACAAAAATAGCTATTGCAAGATATATATAACTTAGTCCCTCTTCACCCTTTCCCCCAATATGAAAAGGATGGAGTCCCACTAATTAGTTTCCTCAATAAACTATTGTATAATCCACAATCTAAGTGGAGGAATTAGATAAAACTTACCCAAACAACTTCTTAAACCTTAAAGCAGGGCTTTAGTATCTCTTTTTTGGCCCTTTGCACAAATGTAGAAGCAAGGAGTCTGCCACCAACCACTTCTTTTAGTTTCTCAGCCAAATTAACATTGCATTAGGTGTTGGTCCCACTTAATGGGAAATTAAGTGGGGGCACCACTTTATATCTTGGTGGGCAATCAAAAAGGAGTATTCTCATGCAAGGGAAATTGAGCCTCCATCTAGGGGCGTGTTTGGTCATTCAAAAAAGTTGAAAAACTCAATAAGCACTTTTTGCACACTCCTCTTCGCAAGGAGTGGACCCAATGGATGACACAATCAGGGTCATTAAAGAAAGGAAAAGTGTTTTGTCTGACTCGATGATGATCTGGAAGGATGATAAACCAGAGACCATGACCAAGAAACCCCAAATTCCCCCATATCATTGCCTTCTTTGACAGATTTGCCTTCAACTCCCTCCATTTTCTACAAATGTCAGTAATGCCCACTTACAAAATATAATTTACCATATATGTACACTTCATAACATTGTTTTATATGTAATGCTTTGGCTATTATTATTATTATTATTATATTGTATCATTGTAACATTGTTGTATATGTAGATATGCATCCTAAAAAAACAATCCTTGTTTCAAAACTTTTATTGTGAGGAATGAAGGAAATATACACACTTTATTTAGATAGTTTAAAATTAACATAGAAAAGAGTTTGGAAAATGAAAGAGTTTTCCTCCGGCGTAGAGATCATCATAAGTAACCAAAAAAGTCCATTATAAAATATGGATATATTGTTTTATAATTTGAAACTGTTCTATATTATAAAACAGAAATCATTTGATGAAATAAAACCATCAATATCAAAGAACTCTTTCCTCATTAAAGGATTAATATTTTACAATTTAGAATAATTCAAATAGTAAATTACTTTTTTGATAAGATATACATATAATTTTTTATTATAAATTATATAATAAAAAACAAGTCTTTTTTATTTTATAACTCATCTTACTCGTATATTATTTTATTAGAATTTAAAATTTATTATTTTTATTAAAAAATTATTAAATTATTTAAGTAGTTGTTAGAATATATACAATTAAAAATAAAAAGAAAAATAAATTCTCTCATATGATCCAGTGAATAAAAAATATTACTTCACAAGTAATAAGTAAAGTTTACTTTATTCTTAATTTGACAGTGACATTGAGCAAGTATTAACTCACTAACTTAGTATTCTTTTTGTAAAAAAAAATAAAAAATAAGAAAAACAAAAAGTCGACAAATATTTAACGATCGTAAATCAATTTGGCGGGAGCGAACCTGTTTGGGTGTGAACTCCCAAAACTGAGGTGGGGTAAGTGGGCCAGAGGTTGTGGAATTTTGGGGTAACGCTGCAGACAGGCAATCTCTGTAACTTTCGGTGTGTTTATGTGTTTTTATTTTTGCACCGTAGGAAATTGGATCCTCTCCTATTCCTATATATACCACTCTCTTCAGCCTTATGTTTACTCTACTCCAATTTCCTTCTTCCTCCACCAACTTCCCTTTTCAGGATTCAATTTTGAGTGTCATTCGTTTCAAAATTTGCGATTCTAATCAAGGGTTTTTTCAATTGTAGGTTCCAATTTTGAAAGTTTTAGTCTTTTTGTTGAATTAACAAGCCTAGTGTGGAATTAGTGACATATCGGCTTCTGGTTGTAGTTCAGGATTGAATTTTTCTTCATTTTAACCTTGTTTTGGGATTGAAATTTTGAGAGGGGGTTGGTGGGGGTTTGATATTCTCATCTGAAGAACAAGTTTTAAGGACAATGTTTCTGGCATTCACTGGGTGCATTCTGTCTAGGTTGCACTCGGTTCTTGACAAGAAGTCTAGTGTTGATAAAAGCTTTTATTTTTGGATCTTTCAGGTCTTTAATAGGTATAGTCTGGGCACTTAGCAACAAAATCCCAAACCTTTCTCCAAAAAGTTCATAACTCTGCTTCTGTTTAGTTCTATTTGGTTTCCTTTTTATCCTGTTTTCTGTCTCCTTTTATTAATTTTTTGCGACTATTACAAGGAGGTAGATTAGAGATTGGGATAATGGGAGGGGCATCACTGCCTCCGGGTTTTAGGTTTCATCCCACTGATGAAGAATTAGTGGGATACTACCTTAAGAGAAAGGTGGGAGGGCTTGAAATTGAGCTGGAAGTGATTCCTGTGATCGATTTCTACAAGTTTGATCCTTGGGAGTTGCCAGGTACTCTTTTATGCAAGTTTTTGAGCCTTCATTAATAATGTCATGCTTCGAGAACTTCCATATCTGTTAGATTATATTGTGTAAACCAAAGTATCTCTATTTATGCTCACAATTTGTCAAGGGATGCTACATAATAAATCTTGTCGTAGAGTCATAGACAGGCAATTGATTTTTCTTAGATTTTCCATGTATTGTGTGCAAGTCATGGCCTAAGCAAAAGAGGTTAGATCTGGGCTGCTGATAATGATATTTTATGATTTTAGGTGATGGCATGGAAATGAAAAATCAGTGTGAACGTTAGAATTTTTTTCAGTGTTGGAAAGCACTTTTTTGTTTGTTGTGCATTTTGATGTGCTCTTTTGTGGCTCTTTATGGTCCAAAACCTGTAACTTATATTCCCATGGGACCTGCAACTTTTTCCTTCTAAAACCCGCTTCAATAGGATTTATTCATCTTCCAGAAAAAAAAAAAATGCTAAAGAAAAACCTGTAACAGTTATGTCACCTAAATGGTCTAGCCGTTTGATGCTTTTGCTTTCACTGTTCTGGGAAATTGAAAGCTTCTGATTTGCCCTTGCAGATAAGTCTTTTCTTCCAAATCGAGATTTGGAATGGTTCTTCTTCTGTCCCAGGGATCGAAAGTACCCAAACGGCTCAAGAACAAATAGAGCTACCAAAGCTGGTTATTGGAAAGCCACAGGAAAAGACAGGAAAGTGGCATGTCAATCTGGGGTGACTGGCTACCGTAAGACCTTAGTTTTCTATCGTGGACGTGCTCCTTTGGGGGATAGAACAGATTGGGTAATGCATGAGTATCGGATCTGTGATGATCTTTCTCAAGGACCACCAAATCAGGTAGGAAAATATTAAAGACAAAGCTCATATGGCTTACTTTCTCTTTTGATTAATTCTTGAAGCAAATAGGTCTTAATACTGAATTGTGCCTGCTTAATTTGATTCTGTTTAGGGAGCTTTTGCTTTGTGCCATGTTGTTAAAAGGAATGAGCATGGAGAACCAAAAGCCAGGAGGCTTGGAAGAAGTTTGGACAAAGGGGAACTTACCTCAACCCGAATCTCAAATGAGCCTGTGAGCATTTCCTGTGACATTTCCCCTCAAGCAAGTTACCCGTGCAATGAGAGTCGTTATTCAAGTCCAACCGCTTCTCCTTATGAAATCCAATCACAAGTGGCACCGTTTGAACCTGCTTCAATGGACAGCAATCCTGCAAGCCTTTGGGTCTCACCTGATCTCATTCTTGATTCTTCCAAGGTATTAAACATGATGAGATGAAAGAAAAGCTAAGGACTTGGTGATTCAATTCTTACACTGTTTAGTTTTCTCAAACATTTTCTTCTTTTGGCTTATTTTAGGATTACTCAAAAGTACAAGAAACAGCACCTGAATGCTTTCCACAGAATGAGTTTCTAAGCCCAGTGACTCCATGGCAACAATACCAACACACCGAATTCTCTCCTAGTTCATCATACTCAAATTTTGGGGAAATTGAGCATATTGATGACCTCAGTCAAATTGGCTGCATTTCACCTTACTCAGGACATGCAAATTATATGGACTTCTATGGAGATAAAGACTTTCCAAGTGAAGGTTATGATCAGACTGGTCCATTATTCTATCTGAATCCTTTCTGAGAAGGGAAAGGAAGATCATCGCAGCTGGTCTATTCTCAATGCAAGATTTGAAACTTTGGACAAATCGTCAATTTGCAGGATTAGACCAGTGGAGGTGGTAATTTACGGACTGCAGTAATCTTTGGTTTCAAGAAGACAAGTTTGGGGATTGTGATAATATAGGGATCTGGCTGGGTAGGGTCTGTAAACTTTTTTTTGCCCGCCTTTTTTTTGGCCAATAAGGTCTGTAAACTCTGGTGCCTACTATTGTATCATCCAGAAGGGTATCCAAGACAACACCTTTTATTGTCAGTTCTTGGGGTACAAGGCAATAAGCACAACGTTTCTCGTGAATCATATTGCATTGGATTCCAGTGTCTATCTCTATGATCTTTGTTACTTAAGCTGCATTAGCAGCCAAGTGCCTGTGTCAGTTTGGTGGTTTTTTTTCCTTAAAAAATGACCCCAGGAGTGATCATTTTTAACGATTGCATCTGGGGTTGGTCTGCTTGTAGACTATCTATAATGTTATGAAATAAGTACATTTCAAGGGCAGAAGTTTTCTTGCTGTTTGACTCTTCTCTGAATGCTGTAATAGATGAAAGTCTGAATGATGAACAGGGGAGACTGCTCTGTTTCAACTTTTGTCCTATTATTGCTTGAAGCTTTTGAAATGTAATATTCTGTGGAGCCCAGCTAGAGATTTAAAGCATAAAATGAACTTTATTTCATATCTCATAAACTTTTCCATCAAGAAGTTACCTTACCTTTAGTTACATCAAAAAAGAAAAAGAATAAAAAAAAAAAAGAAAAGAAGAAGAAGAAGAAGTTAACTTTAGACAAACTCTTTAAATTTTTGGTTAAATCCTGAAGCCGCTAATTGAGATACATGAATTAATCATGAAGTGAACAAAAAAACAAAAGTGCCCTATTCTGCTGAAATCTACCAGTTTTCTCAATCAATTCTTTACTTTTAGTAATCTTCATAAAAAGAAACTACAATAATGCAACTTTAGGAATGCAAAAGGCCAATTATCCAAAATAGTAATAATAATAATTTTATGCAACACCAAAGGGAGTTAATATTCTCCAGAAAATAGATTCTCCCGCCCCTATTATCTCAGCTGCAACACCTACCCCTTTGAGCTTTGCTCTTTTCTCACCAAATTCTCTTTTTGTCAATATGCTCAAATTGTTTCAATTGAAAATGAACCCATAGAAGGAAAGAGGACTGTTGTTGAGTTTTAAATTCCTTATTCTTACATGCACTTTCAGAAAGTTAGAAAATTTGGCATCCCCTTTCCTTTCACTAGAGGATCCTGCATAATCTTTGTATTACTTGCATTGCTAAAATGAGTTTCCAAACCATTATGAAAAGGTCATTTATACCATCAGCCATATAGTTTGATGATATAGTTATCTGTACTATAGTACAAATTTAGGGTTTAATCTTTAATCTATATGTATAAGTCATTCGTTCCCTGGACAAACATATATATACAAAAAGAACATTTTTCTCTTCATGGTTCATACTAATATAAGCTAGCAATTTGAGGACTGCAAAACACTTGCACTTCCTCAAGGGTAGCCTTGAACTCATCCCCAAATAAAGACTCCTTACCATCCTTCCTCTTTGCATATGATAACCCCAATCTGGACTTTGCTTGCCTGAGGTCTCCAATACCTGAGTTTGTATCAGGCCCTGTAAACCCACCCATGACTGGTGCTAGTGGGGGTCCAATGATAAGCCCATCGGCCCCAAATTGGGGCCCGCCCCGAGCATAGTCGAAAAGGGCTGCACCACTACCCCCTACTTTAGGCAGGATGATGGGATCATCAGTTTGCTCATCTTCTGGCCAGTAGAAGAGGAATGCATCAAAGGTGTCATAGTAATCATCCGTGCTTCTGTAGCCCTCAGGATTAAAAGCACCAAACTTGAAAGACTTATTTGTGTATCCAATAATCACACAGGGTCCTTTGAAATCAGAGCACTCATGAAAACTAGTCGCGCTGAATCCATCAACACTAGCCTTGTAGCAGCATTTTAACTCCCTACCTATGCATGGATGAATACATTTGTTATTGCACATAATGGATTGTGTCTAGTATATGTGTCTGTGTGTGGGCACACGTGTATTTATTCAGAGAAAGAGGGAAAGATTTATAAAATATACTGTACCTCTTAAGAATGTTTTGTCAACAAGAGAAACAGAGAAGGGAAGATCTAAGTCATGGTACTTAGGCTGTGGCCTGAGTTCAGCATCTTTCTTCTTGCCTATGTTCCAATTGAAAAGGCTTTGTGGGCTTCTCCTCCTCCACCCATGGAATACTGAGCTTGAGATACAAGAAGCCATCTAATCTCCCACTGACCACCTCACAGATTCCACCACTTCCATTCAAAAACAACCTTATCTTTGGTGACCCACTACTGTTTCAAAAGGACCCACTACAAACAATAGGGGTCCATAGATCAGTAGTAGTGCATTTGACTGCAGATCAAGAGGTCATGGGTTCGAACCCCGTTGGACCTTTCTTCATATTTTTTATTTAATAAAAACTTTCTTTTGAAATTTTACAACAATATTAATTTTATTTTTCTTATACTGCAATCAGGGTCCATAGCTCAGTGGTAGAGCATTTGACTGCAGATCAAGAGGTCACCGGTTCGAACCCGGTTGGGCCCTTTATTGCTCTTTTATTTTTTAGTTTTTCAAAATTTCCTTTGAAATCCAAAAAAGGGGGAAACCCAATTTTCCTTTTCTTTTTTAATCATAGTTTGGTTTAGGAAAAGAAGAGAATAAAATCGCATATTGACACTCAAAAAATCAATATTGTCTATGATCTGTATTTATTTCCATTTTACATTTCTCATCTTATTAATGAGATTAATCTTTCTTAAATTACTTTTGTCTCTAAAATATGCATGCTTAAGCTTAAAATGATAAACCCACCCCCACCACATCAATCCGCATGAGAAGGCAACTGATTGTGGATAACATCCACAGCAGTTGCAGACACTGTCATGGTAATCTCATCACCGCCAGTGTACTCCTTGAAGCATGCAATCGTCCCCAGCTCTTCCACCTCCACAATCACATTGTCAAGCCTGGCCACCATCTCCACCAGCAAAGACGCAAATGCTGCAAAGGGTAGTGCCTCAGAGAATTCCAGGCTGGTGATTGCAATCTTACTCAGCTGCGGCCTCAACACCTTCCTCTCGTTCTCCTTTTCTATGCTTGTTCTTTTGCTCTTCCACTCCCGCAGTGCACAGGAGTCCGTCTTCACGCTCGATAATGAAGCCGCACCGTCCTTCTGTTGTTGCCTCTGGTGGCCGGCTGCATGTGCGGCCGCCAGTGCAAGTACGTTGGTGGCTTGGTTGCTGTTGGAGCCGAGAAAGAGTCTGGGTTGGGACTTTATTGCAGTGTTGAGATCTTGCAGGGCTTCATGAAGATGGTCAGAGAGTATTTCAGGCGAGCAGTGGCGTCGGTTTCTAATGCTGTTAGCAAGTTCTAACAGATCTTGGGATAGTTCTCGTGCAAGTCGAATACAGGGGTCTTTGAACAAGGCTCGAACAGAGCGTGGCGTCTAACACAGAATGAGAAGTTCAGTATTCACTGATATATAATAAGAATACAAAAATTTTTATTTATGCAATCTGAATTGAATAGATTTACCATAGTGGATGGCTGTTTTCATCAGTCCAGTTCGAACATGAAGTCTCAAGCTCTAACTGTTCGACTGTATTAAAAAAGACATAATACTATAAGATTATTTTGTTTTAGTATATGTTACCTGAATTTCTGTTTGCAAGCATCCATGCAAAGCTACAACTGTGTATCCAAACTGGCGAAGAACAGCTCCAATTTTCACGTACTGCTGCCATGGAAATTTGTAACAGTGTTTTGAATGTCTAGGCTCCCAGCTTGCATACAACGCCTGCGCTCGATTCAAAGTATTGCATTACATTACATTAATTCACACCCACAAAAAAGAAGAAGAAGAAGAAGAAGAACAGTTATGCCTAAAAACTTAATCTCTAATAGATACAAAGAACTCACGAGGCTTTCATCGATGGATTTTGAATCCAATACTGCCTTGTAACCTTTATAGCTGGGATCCTCAGATGCATTATCTTTGTTCACTTGTACCTCAGCGTCGTTGAAGTAGTCATTGACACAAGCTGTAAAAAACAGTTAAGACTTCATTATAAATACAACCTAAATAAAGCACCACTCTAGTGAATTTATGGGATAGTTAAGTCACCTTCTATGCATTTAGCTAGCACTTCTAGCTTGCCTACAGTGGAATTATGAAGGTCTTCCCCTGACCAAATTGGAAATACCAGTAGGCTCATGAAAAGACAGATAACACAGCCTATGGCAATGGTATAAAACCGATCATGTGCTATCTTTAATACTTCAAGACGGTAGCTCGAGACAGTAATCAGATTGAATGTCAAGAGGAATATCACCACACCATAGTCATAGTTCTTCTTTAT